TCATGATGATGCTGATGCTGATGCTGATGCTGCTGATGATGCTGCTGCTGATGATGATGCTGATGATGATGATGAGGATGATGACGATGATGACGATGATGATGCTGAGGAGGAGGAGGAGGATTAGGAGGGGGAGGAGGAGGAGGAGGAGGAGGAGGGACTTGGAGGAGGAGGAGGACGAGGAGGTGGAGGAGGAGGAGGAGGAGGAGGACTACGAGGAGGAGGAGGATGTGGGAGGAGGATGGATGGATGGATGGATGGATGGATGGTCGGACGGCCGGACGGACGGACGGACGGACATGATGATGATGTTGATGATGATGATGGTGATGGTGATGGTGATGATGATGATGATGCTGATGATGATGATGAGGAGGAGGAGAATGGGAAACAGGAGGCAGAGAAGGAGAAGGAAGAGTAGGGCGGATGATGATGATGATGATGATGATGATGCTGATGCTGATGCTGATGCTGATGATGGTGATGGTGATGGTGATGGTGATGCTGACGATGATGATTATGATGAGGATGAGGATGATGATGAGGATCATGATGATGATGAGGATGATGAGGATGATGCTTCTGAGATGAGGATGAGGGTGATGATGAGGATGAGGATGAGGATGAGGATGAGGATGAGGATGATGAGGATGATGAGGATGATGAGGATGATGAGGATGATGATGATGATGATGATGATGATGATGATGATGATGATGATGATGATGATGATGATGATGATGATGATCAGGATGATCATAATGATGAGGATGATTATGATGAGGATGAGGATGATGATAAGAATGAGGATGATGAGGAGGAGGAAGAGGAGGAGGAGGAGGAATAGGGGGAGGAGGATGAGGGAGGAGGAGGAGGAGGGAGGAGGATCAGCGATCGAAAAAGAGGATCGAGGATCGAGGACGAGTTCTGCAGGTTCGTGTGTGTGTGTGTGTGTGTGTGTGTGTGTGTGTGTGTGTGTGTGTGTGTGTGTGTGTGTGTGTGTGTGTGTGTGTGTGTGTATGTGAATGTGTGTGTGTGTGGTTTTTCTGCACGTTTGCTTGGACTTACAGTTCTTCTTGCACACCACCCATTGCTGCATTTGACAGTGCGCAACGGTTTGTACACTGTGCCTTTGAGAATGCTCGATCGCAGCTAGCGCTTCCATCTGCTGCTCGCGCCTTCGGACCCAGGCGTTAGGGCAGGTTGTGCGCCACGACGACGCGGCGGCCAGAATTCGAACGATCTACGGTGTCGGATCGCGATCGTGCAAGGTTGGACGATCCACGCGGTGTCAGAAACCGACGCCTGCATCGCCACGACACGGTATTGCCGTACGCAAAGCGACTCCCCTCATGCGGTGCCTCTGATGAAGGTCTCTTGCAGCCGTTTCGGCCCAGGCCGCCCTGGATCTCCAGACACACGACGTCTCGAATTTGCCGGTACGAGGGCCCCAGAAGGCCCGACTCTCTTCCCGAGTGCGCTTGTGCATCCTGAGCCCGGAAACGGCCTCCACCACGGGCCGAAAGCGGTGAAAGCGTAGTCTTTGCTTTGTCGTTGTCGTTGTTTTCAAGATGTTGGATGTCTGGATTCAGGGCCCCCCGACTCTCCGCAAGGCGCCAGCTTGCAGCCCACCCGTCGCGCATCTTCGAGGATGGTACAGGCGGCCCCGCTGCGCAGACTGCGGAACGACAAGGCTCGGTGGCGTGCAGAACGACGACGACGTTGTCATCTTGGAGGTTCTCGTGCGCCTCAGTGGCCACGGCTGCGCGCAGCTCGAACAACTAGCTAGGTTGGACAGGTTCTCAGCGACGCTTGGCAGAGTGTGTGGCGAGCGGTTGGGCCTCTCGAGCAGACGGCGGGGCTTCCAGAGGGGCTCGGGAGCCTCTGAGAAGCCTTCTGAGAAGCCTCCAGTTCCCTCGAAGGCCCCCTTGCGGAGTCCGTTTCGGTCCGATCGGTCCGATTCGGCCACAATTCCAGCCGGCCCGATCCGATTCGACTCCGATGTTCCATTGATTCGATGCGACCCGATGCTTGCATTGACGAACGATCAACACGCACCCATACCCGGGGGTGACGGAATGAGCTGTGGGTGCGTGTTGTCGGATGGGGGTCCCCGCTCGAACGGGAGCCTCCCCAGGGGTCCGACAAGCCGCACCCATACCCATAGCCAGTTCTTCTCCCTCCGACCTCCTTATGGGTATGGGTGTGTGTTGTTCGCTCGTCCTGCATGGGCGCCGTTGTGCACCCAGGCGCGGCCGGTCCGAGTCGATTCCGGCTCCGTGCCGATGCGGCTCCACTCGACGTACGTTCAGATCCGATCTCCCGGTTCGATGCAGACAGGTCGAAGGTCAAGGATTTGGGATCGAGGATGAGGAGGAGGTCGAGGATCTAGGATCGAGGAGGAGGAGGAGGAGGTGGAGGAGGAGGAGGATCGAGGAGGAGGATCGAGCATCCTGCCCTCGCCCTCGCCTCCTCCGCGCGCTTCTCCAGCGCGCGCCGCATGGAGGCGCTGCGGCCCAGCCCCGTCGACTGCGACCGCGACCTGGAGGCCTTTGCGCCTCGTCGAGGGGGCGACCTCAACAGACCCTCGGATCATGGCGTCGCGATTTTTTCTGCAGCTGGCGCTGTCGCCCGCTTTCGGGCCCCAGGGCCCTCACACATCGACCCCGCTCGAAGCATAACACAGAACGATGGGGCCCAGGGCTCCGGGCGTGATTTTTTTCCGCGACGTCGCGGTTTTTTTCCCGCAGCGTCGGACCTCGGGGTGAAAGAGAGCACGACGGGAGCGCACCCGCCCCGGGGCCGCCAGGAAGCTGCTCGGGAGGAGCCGCTGGCTCGGGTCTCCCGCCCGGGGGGAGGCCCTTTCTCCCTGGGCCCCGGGGCCGTCGAGAGACGGCTCGGGGTGCTCAGCGGGTCCCCGGGACGGAGTCCAGGCCTCTGGGAGTTAACTAGGGGGCCACATGCGAACCCTGCCCCTACCCCCCACGATTTCTGAGGGGGAGGGTGGGGTTCACTTCGCTCGGGAGCTCCCGAGCGAAGTGAACCCCACTCCACCCCTCAGAAATCGTGGGGGTCTAGGGGTAGGGTTCGCGTGTGGCCCCCTAGTTAAGAGAGCACGACGGAAGGTTTCCCGCCCCAGGGGGAGGCCCTTACACTGCCCCCAGAGGCCGTCGAGAAACGGCTCTCAGCATGATCGGATGGTCCCTGGGAGGGGGTCCAGGCCTTTTCGGGGGTTCACGTTATGGGGAACTGAAGTCGGGCGCCTGGGCGGGGATGGTGGTGATCAGGGGGCGTTGGGTATCATTACCGCGGTCGATATCTCAGTGGATTTCATGGCCCGCCCGTGTTGCTCTATAGGCTTATGCCCGTCCGCCGACCCTTGTGTGATGCTGGCAGTTTTCTGAACTTCCCCTCAGTTTGTCTCGCCGAAGTTCCGCCGGCGTGATTTCCGATTTCACGGTGCACCCAGTCTTCGACCATTTGGGCCAGTGGATTTTTTTTTCAAGGCTTCGATTCTCCCTCACGAGCCTTAAGTTGGGCCTGTCCCTCTACAGGAGGAATCTACAAAAATAGTAAAAAAATAGTAGCTTGACGATTTGTTTTAAAACGAGCCGCAGTTTTGGTGCGCCATTCCTGGTCCCTGGACTTCCGGGCGTTCTTCGGCACCTTCGAAGTCTTTCGCCTCAAGCTGGTGGCTCGCTGCTTGAACGCAGCTGCATGTTCTCCCTCGGCACTCCCGCGCCTGCCTTCACGGTCTGATCGGGCCCTGTCTTCCTCTTCCCACTTTTCTTTTCTCTTTAGCTTTCGTGCCTACTTCGCCTCCGGTGCACCCTACCGCTCGCTCTGACGGGTCCCTGACCGTCTTGCACAACCTGGCGCCCGCGGACTTAAAAGTGTGTTGTGTTCGCTCGCTGAGACGCTCAATGGGGTTGCCGTGGCTGTTGTGGAAGATTTGTGCGACCATTGGTCATGGTATAAGGCGGGAGAATGCGCCTCGAAGTGCAGAAAGGAGGCGCGCTGCATCGCCAGGCAGCTACGCGGACAGAGGCAAACGGCGACAGGTAACAGGAATCTGACGTCCGCGTCGTCCAGGCGGTGGCCAGCGCGGCTCTTTTTCTGACAGTGGCACACCGAAGAGGATGCTGTATGCCGTCACCCCTGCCTTCCAGTCATATAAATCAAGGTAAGTAGCAATGATGGGAGTCAGCATAGAGTATGGCGTGTGCGCCCTCCATTGAGGCAGATCGTGTTCACACCCCTCCCCTTTCTTCGAGGCGGTTTGTAGCCTCATGGGGGCTGTGTGGAAGCCTCAAGGGATTCGCTTGGGCTTTCAGAGGGCCTCCAGGGGCCTTCCTGGGCCGTCTGGGGCGCCTCTTGGGCTGTGTTGGGCCCATCTTGGGCTGTTTGGGGCCCTTCCTGGGCCTTGGCGGGCGCTTCTTGGGGTCCTCGTGGGCCCCTCCTTGGGTCCTCTTGGGATGTCTTGAACGTCTCTTGGGCCGCCTCGTGGCCGCCTGGAGGCGTCTGGGGGTCTCTCCTCGAGGCCTGTTGGCCCGTCTCGGGTCGATCTTCACGGCCGCTGACGCAGTCCGCAGAACATGCGAGTTCACCGCGAAACATGGGGTAATTTTGACGGGTCGGAGCTCTCGCGGGGAGGGTTTTGGAACCTCCTTCGGGGGGCGTGTTGAATGAAGGCTTCGTGGGTCGTGTCGAAGCTATCTCACGGCGACTGGGTGCCATCTGGGATCGTCGAGGAGCCCCAGGCAGCCAGTTCGACATCGTCGAAGGTCGTCCAGGAACATCCCTGAGGCGGTAGGGGCCGCCGGTACTCTTGGCCGTACCCCCCTTCTCAGACTGGCCAGACAGAGCCGCTGGGGAGGGGCAGCAGCCTCACACGCTGTGATCTCCCAGGGGTCTGCGGAGTTGACTCTGCGTTCCCCGGTGCCCCCCCGTGGGCCGCGCAGGTGCCTCGGGCTATGACTTGCGTCCCCCGTTGTCTTGAACGCCCCAGATCCTCAGCGGGGCCAGCGTGGATCTGGGCTCCCTCGCGAAGTTGTTTCGGGGCGCCTCCGTACGACCCCCAGAAACTCAGCCTCGCGCAGAGGGGGTGGGGGTAGGGGGGGGGGACGCTTCTGAGAAAGACCCCTGGTTTCTAGCAGGTGCGTGCTTCATCTATACATGTGAAGCCAGCGTCTTCTAGCATGCAGCCTCTTTCTAGGAAGCCTTCCCTCTCCCCGTACCCCGCCGTGCGGGCCGCCAAAATTAAAATCAGTGGGGTATTCTTGGGATCGCTGCGAGGTCGCAGGGTGGCCACGTGGTCATTTTGAGGCCCACTGTCGATTTTGCCGTGGGTGACCGCCGAGCTCCATTCCTGGGGCCGGCTTTGGTTGACCTTCTGGGAAGGAGCGTTGCATGCTCTTGGGGGCTCTCTTCTTTGTGAAGTCCGCTCATATCAGTTTTCTATCCGTCTATCCTGCTACCGCACCGGCTCAGGTATTGGAAGCTGGTACCGCGCCGCTTGCCCGCGGCGCATGGGAAAATGGATCGCTACCCTCTCCCTAACCGGCCTCTTACAGTCGGGTATCTCAGGAGGTTCGACTCGTCGGTCGTAAATCTACATACGCAGGTTCCAGCCTTGGCGTGCTCTCCAGCAGGTGCCCTCTCCCTAACCGGCCTCTAGCGTCGGTCATCTCAGTAGGCTCGACTCTTCGGTCGTTCATCTACATACGCAGGTTCCAGTTTTTCGGAGGGCACCAACTATACACCAACACCGATCCTGGCCCAGGATCACCCTGGGCCCAGGATCGGTGTATATGCCTTCTTGCGCAAGGCAGGAGGGCGTATACACCGATCCTGGGCCCAGGGTGACCCTGGCCAGGATCGGTGTTGGTGTATAGTCGGTGCCCTCCTAGCTTTGGCGTGCTCCCCAGCAGGTGCGCCTCGCCAGAGCCGTTCACGGGGGTGCCCGGAGGGCGAAGGGTCGCCGGAGGCCCGACGTGTGACCCGGACGCGGGGCCGCCTGGCGTCGTTCGTGGACAACTCGCGACGCAAGGTCTGTTGCCCTGAAGGGGGCCCTTGCCGGGCCCCAGGGGTGTGTTATAGGGGGCCACGTGCGAACCTTGCCCCTGCCCCCCACGATTTCTGAGGGGGAGGGTGGGGTTCACTTCGCTCGTGACCTCCCGAACGAAGTGAAGCCCACCCTCCCCCTCAGAAGTCGTGGGGGGTAGGGGTAGGGTTCGCATGTGGCCCCCTATGTTAGAAAACGACCCAGGATGAGAAACAGGTCCCACTGCAGTGGTCGGTTCGATTTGCATCAGCTGCAAGAGCTTTAGGGTGGCTGTGACCCACTTGCACTGCGCCTACAAGAAAGTTGTAAGTCCGCCTCTCTGCTTTAGGTTTGAGTGAGTCGCGGGCCCAGCTTGGAGCAGCTAGGCGGGCTTGCAACCGTTGCAAGTCACAGCGATCCCTGCAGCAGGAAAAGGGTTCAGATCTCCAGGGGTCAACGTTGTGAACCAAGCACGACGTCGGAGGGCTACGGATCGCGCCGCATCGCCGACGTATCGCGCGATCTGGAGCCCGATTCTCTCCATCCCGCCGTCGCCGATGCCGATCGGGGAGATTCGGGCACCCCCCAGGGCCTGCTTCGATTCGGTCGATCCGATTTGATGCCGAGTCCGACGCGGCCCGATATTGGCACAGCGTATTGGTGTATCCGGGCGCAGTCGATTCGATTCGATTTCGATTCCGATTCCGATCCGATGTAGCCCGATCCGATGGCCGTTCCCATTGAATCCGATGTCCCGATCCGATGCTGACCGATCCTGCACCCAGAGCGCTTGAACGAGGCGCAGCTGCCGGAGAGCACTCTGGAGCGAGAAGACCTCCAAGAACTTTCGGAGACCTGCAAGACCCAGACCCCCGACGTCGTGATTTTTTCACAACGTCGACCCCCAAACGTCTGGACCCCTTCCCGGGGACTTGCTTTATCCCGAGTCGGGTTTCGACGGTCCCGAGGCCGGGGAAGTGCCCCAGGAGGTCGAAAGTAGTGCAAAACCTCCCGCAGTGATTTTTCCCAGCGCGAAAGGATTTGCGGAGCCATCGGAACCCGCCTGTTCTTTCGCGCCGACAGGGGCCAGGCTCCTCTGAGGCAGCACCTGCTGGGTCGAGGACCTCGGTCGCCTGGAAAGCACTCCGGAGCGAGCAAATCTCCAAGATTTTTGTTCGAAGACCTGTCACAGCCCTACCGAAACCCGCCTGCACGTTGGCGCCGACAAATGCCAGACTCCCCTGCGGCATCAACTGCTGAGTCGAGGACCTCGGCAGCGTCGATTTGGCGTCGATTAGCGTCGATTCGCAAGAGCCGACAGCATGGGATGGGAGGCTCCCTTGAGTTGCCAGAGGAAACCTTTCCCTCCGAGGAGAAGGAGGATGAGGAGGAGGAGGAGGAGGAGGAGGAGGAGGGGGAGGAGGAGGAGGAGGAGGAGGAGGAGGGGAGAGGAGGAGGAGGAGGAGGAGGAGGAGGAGGGAGGAGGAGGAGGAGGGAGGAGGAGGGGGGACCGGCATGCACAGCAGCTCGCGCCTGTCTGGTTCGCGCGCCGACAGAGGCCGGGCTCCCCTGGGGCAGCAACTGCTGGGTCGAGGACCTCGGCCGCCCCCCCTGCGTGGTGGACGCGGCTCCCGCGGCCGAGCCCGCCCCGGGGGCCCGGGAGGCCGCCTGCCTCCGGCCGCAGACGCTGGAGCTGAGGCCGGGCGGGCCGGAGGAGGAGGAGGAGGAGGAGGAGGAGGAGGAGGAGGAGGAGGAGGAGGAGGAGGAGGAGGAGGAGGAGGAGGACGAGGAGAAGGAGGAGGAGGATGATGGTGGTGGTGGTGGTGATGATGATGTTGGTGGTGGTGATGGTGGTGATGATGATGACGATGATGATGATGATGACGATGATGATGCTGATGAGTGATATTTTGATTGATTGATTGATTGATTTATGAATTGATTGATGATGATGATGGCAATGATGCTGATGATGCTGCTAATGATGGTGATGATGATGCTGATGATGGTGGTGGTGGTGATGATGATGATGGTGGTGGTGATGGTGGTGATGATGATGAGATGATGACGATGATGATGATGCTGATGCTGATGTTGATGATGATTGATTTTTTGATTGATTGGTTGAGTGATTGATGATGATGATGGTGGTGGTGATGGTGGTGATGATGATGAGATGATGACGATGATGATGATGCTGATGCTGATGTTGATGACGATTGATTTTTTGATTGATTGGTTGAGTGATTGATGATGATGATGATGATGATGGTGGTGATGATGATGATGCTGATGCTGATGCTGATGCTGATGCCGATGCTGCTGCTAATGATGATGATGCTGCTGATGATGATGGTTATGATGATGATGATGATGATGATGATGATGATGATGACGAGAATGATGATGATGATGATGATGATGATGATGATGATGATGATGATGATGATGATGATGATGATGATGATGATAATGGCGATGATGCTGATGCTGCTGCTGCTGATGATGATGGTGGTGGTGGTGATGATGATAATGATGGTGATGATGATGATGATGATGATGATGATGATGGTGGTGGTGGTGGTGGTGCTGATAGTGACAATGATGATGATGCTGCTGCTGATGATGATGATGATTGTGTTGATGGTGGTGATGATTCTGATGATGCTGATGATGCTGATGATCATGATGCTGATGATGCTGATGATGATACTGATGCTGATGATGATGGTGGTGGTGGTGATGATGATAATGATGATGATGATGGTGATGGTGGTGGTGGTGGTGAGGGTGGTGGTCGTGATGATGATGACGACGAAGATGATGATAATGATGATGATGATGATGATAATGATGATGATGCTGATGATGATGATGATTTGATGATGATGATGCTGATGATGATGACGATGACGACGATGATGATGATGATGATGATGATGATGATGATGATGATGATGATGGTTATGATGATGGTTATGAAAATAGCAAGTTTGGTTACGATTTATGAAATGCATCCATGATGATGCTTATGATGATGATGATGATGATATATGATGATGATGAATTATGATGATGTTGTGATGTTATGATGGGTGATGCTGCGCTGGTGCTGGTGCTGCTGCTGCGCTGATGAATGAATGTGTGATGATGATGGCTGCCTGTGATGATGAGGATCTGAATGCTGATCTGCTGTGATTATTGATTGCTGATGATTGCTGATGTTGCTGCTGCTGCTGATGATGATTATGATGATGCTGATGAATGAAGTGATGATGCTGCTGTTGATGATTGATGCTGCTGCTGCTGCTGTGATGATGATGATGAGGAGAGAGGAGGCATGATGATGACTTATTAAAAAAGATGATGATGATGATGATGAGAATGATGATGACGATGATGGGAGGAGATGTGAGATGGAGGAGAGAGGAGGAGGAGGAGGAGGAGGAGGAGGAGGAGGAGGAGGAGGAAGGAGGCCGGGGAGTAGGAGAAGTGAGGAGAGGAGGCGGAGGAGGAGGAGGCGGGGAGGAGGCGGAGGAGGAGAAGGAGGGGGTAGAGAGAGGAGGGGTAGTAGAGGAGGATGATGAGGAGGAGGGAGCGAAGAGGATGAGGGGGAGAAAGAGGAAGGAGGAGGAGGAGGAGGAGGATGAGGAGAGGAGAGGAGGAAGGAGGAGGAGGGGAGGTAGAGGAGGACGGAGATGAGGCGGAGAGTGAGGCGGAGGAGAGAGGAGGAGAGGAGGAAGGAGAGAGAGGAGGAGGAGGAGGAGGAGGCGAGGAGGAGGGGATGAGGAGGAGGAGGAGGATGAGGAGGAGGAGGAGGAGGAGGAGGAGGAGGAGGAGGAGGGGGAGGAGGAGGAGGAGGAGGAGGCGGAGGAGGAGGAACAGGAGGAGGAGGAGGAGGAGGAGGAGGAGCGAGGCGGTCTGGCATGGCTCGCGTGCCCAGTCCCCCTCGCGTCGTGCAAGAACACATCGCGGCGGCAGGCTTTTCGCTCTTCTCGGTGTCCAGGGGCCCTTCCCTGGCCTCGGGGCCGTCCAAAGACGGCTCAGGAGGAAGAACCGGTCCTGGGAAAGGGGTCCAGACGTTTGGTGGGAGCGAGGCGGTCTCGCATGCTGCATGGCTCGCGTTACGTTGGGCGCGTCCATGCACAGGAGGAATATCCAGTAATAGTATGATATCAGTCAGGCGTAGTTTTCAGACGGCTCTGTCGTGCTCGGATGTGTTTCCTCAGGCTCCCAGAGGTTCTGCCAGTCTCGGCGCGCTCTCCAGTGCAGCTGCGCCTCGTCGAGACCGTTCGGGGGGGTGCCGGGATTTTCCCGAACCGCCGCTGGAGGCCCGACTGACGGCTCGAAAGCCAGGCTTCTGTCTTTGCCAACAGACTGTTTGACGCGGAGGTCCCCATACTTGCATCCCATTTCGTGGCACCTTGCTCTGTGAGTGTCTCGGGGTAAGATAGTCTTGGCCCGTGGCGACTGAGCGCTCCCTCGCGGCTTCCCTTCGGAGCCTCGGAGTGCCCAGATGCTATGCCTGCTGCATCGGGATGGCCTTGGGGCTCTGAAAGGAGAGGAGTCGGGGGTGCCACAGCCAACGTTTCGCTTCAGACGTGCCCACGGCCTGGCCGCGACCAGGCAAGTTTGACACCTCCTGGCAGCTCCCCCTTGGGATGCCCTCTGTGCCCGTTGCGATGCGGCGATCACGGGGCTCCGAAGCAGCGAGCCGCTCGAGATATCCCCACAATCTGGGCGCGCACGGGCCAGTGCAGCACCCCCTGGCGGCTCCTCCTCGGGTGCCCAGATGCCTACCCTGTCGCGCTGATCGTGCGGCTCTCAACAGACAGGGGTCGGGGACGCCAGACGAGCGAATCGCTCGAGACGTCCCGATACTCTCGGCGCGAACGGAGCTTTTGTTTCCCTCGGCGGCTCCTCCTTGGGGTACCGGAGTGCTATGCCTGCTGCATCGTGGTGATCACGGGATTCTGAAAGGAGAGGAGTCGGAGGAGAGGAGTCCCAGTGTGAGTGAGTTTGAGTGTGAGTGAGCCTGAGTGTGAGTGAGTCTGAGTATCAGTGAGTCTGGGTACTAGTAAGTCTGAGTGTGAGCGAGTCTTAGTATGAGCGATCTGACTGTGAGTGAGGCTGAGTGAGAGGGTCACCCAGAATGAGTAACGAGGTTGAACTATGAGTGCGCCGACGTGGGAGTGTGAGAAGTAAAGGACATGAGGAGGAGAAGGAGGAGGAGGAGGAACAGGAGCAGGAGGAGGAGGAGGAGGAGGAAGAGGAGGAGAGGAGGAGGAGGAGGGAGGAGGAGGAGTGTTGGAGTGAGGAGGAGGGAGAGGGAGGAGGAGGAGGAGGGGGGGAGGAGGAGGAGGGGAGGAGGAGGAGGAGGAGGAGGGGGAGAAGGGGAGGGGGGGGGAGAGGAGGAGGAGGAGGAGGAGGAGCAGGGGGAGGAGGAAGAGGATGATGCTGAGTAGGAGGAGGGGGGATCGGGAGTGGGAGGCGAAGGCGTCACACTACTGGCAGCAAGATGCCCATGCAGGAGACGGGGAGCAACGACGGGACGTTTTTGGCAGTTTTCGCCCTCTGGGCATCCTCGCTGGGCGCCAGGGGCCGCCAAACATCGGATCGTGATCACTTGCCCCGGGGGGCATCTATGAACATAGCCTGGCTGGTGGGGCACCAGCTGCACTGGAGAAGCGCTTTCGTCCGCCCCTGCAAGTAGAAACCGCCAGGGTTCGGGTCGGTTGGGCTGGGTGGGATTGGACGAACGTAGCCATTTTATCGCCCAGCTAGATAGAATTCGCCCCAGGGGTCCAGAGCTCCAGCTGTCCACGCCGTGGAAGCGGTGCCCACGCTGCGGAAGAAGCAGCAGCGTCGGGGCTCTCGGGAAGGTGCCCCCCAGGACTGCCGGGGAGGCCCACATGGCCTCGAGAGCACCCCTCACGAGGCCCCCTCAGGGCCCCAGGGGCACCCTGGGCCAGGGGCACCCCTGGCAGCCTCCCTCCCCCCGAGCGACACTTCGGAGGTCCGCGCGGGCTTCCTCGGTCGGCGCCGGGCCCTCCCTCCCCGCCACCGGCCCAGGCCCCCGAGGGGCTGCGGCACGGGCGCCGGAATCCGGGCCTCCTTGGGCTCAGGAGGGGGCTCTGGTCTTCTGGCCGAGGCTCTCGCCGCGGGCAGAAAAGCCAGCTCCCTGGCTCCTTATCTGGCGTTCCTCATCGTAGCATGAGGACCGCATGCCTGCGCCGTTTTTGTTTGTCAGTTGTTTTTTGTTGTTTTTCTGTAGTCGATGTTCTGTTGTATGTGGACAACAGGGCGTACACTTAAACGAGTCAACGTTGGTTTCGAGCGTATGCCTTGCGCGAAGCTTCGCATCCCGCGGCCCGTCTCGCGTATTGGGGGGCCGCGCTCGTGCACGTGGTTGGGCGCGTACGTCTCTTGTGGGCTCCCTGCCTTCGGTTCGTCCGCGGCGAGGCTGCCGCGGGAAGCGAGGCCCGGCGAGCTGGTGGTCGCGGAGGGCCCGCACGGCACCGTCGAGGTGGAGCCCCCCGCCGACCACAAGCCCGGCACGAAGGTGCCAGGCCTCCCAATAAGGGGGGCCAGAGCAGCCAGGGCCGAGTCGGGCCTGTCCCCCCACTGGGGGAATAGTCAAAAATTGTCCCAAAGCAGTCTAGGCACGAGGTATCGAATATTATGTTGACCATTTGGGGTTCTTTTTTTGAGTATTTTCATTTTTTTCGCCCAAGATCCCCCTGAAGGGGGACAGTCGGGGGTGGACAGACCTCCTACCCTGACACGTCGATTAGCGAATTGGCCGTTTTCGGTTCGCGAGAGGGCGTCGCGGCCGTCATTTTTGCGGGTCCAGGTCCGTCGGTCTCGGTCCCAGGCCGTTTTCACTAGAGGGTGGTTTACGACAGGGAGGTTTATCCACCGCCGAAACAGGCCCGACCTGAAGCTAGGGCTAAGTCGGGCCTGTTCCCCTACAGGGGGATTTTGGGTGGAAAATCAAAGATGCTCATGAAATACTCCCAAAATGCTCGAAAATAGTAAAAAGAATAGTCCCCAGACTGTTTTTGATTATTTTTGAATGTTCCCCATGTAGAGGGACGGGCCCGACTTAAAGCTAGGGTCCCAGACCTCTTCTCGTCGTGTGCACAGCACCAGGACGGGAGGGTCCTCGTCCGTGCGCGGTTGGCTCCCCCGGGGGCCCCACCGTGCCCGGGGGACCGTCGGATGACGACCGACCCGCACTTGTATAAGGATGGGCAGCCTTCCCACGTCGGAAACTAGAACATATACATGGTCGAGGGTTTGGGCCCCCTCCCCCGCCCCCCCCAATGCTAATGCCATCTGGCCTCCTCCTCCTCCTCCTCCTCCTCCTCCTCCTCCTCCTCGTCCCCCCCATCCAATCTGGGGGGGGGGGGGCCCGAGCACCCTGGGACCCATCCCATCTGTGGGGGGGGGGGCCGTGGGGCCCGGAGCCCGCGAACATACATGACCAGTGGTGGGCCGTTTTTCCATCCTACGACTTTTCGAGGGTCGGGGACGACGTCGGGGTGGTCTGGTGCATACTTTTTTTCTTCGTTTTCCCGGGGACACAGCGAGAAAGGTATACACCAGGATCCCGTATACACCAGGATCCGTTTTCCTATGCGAATTTCAATGCGGGGCCAGAAAAGGCGTCGGTGTATAGAGTTCGGCCCCTTACCAAGGGTACCCTGGCATCCTCGCTTCCTCGGCCCAGCCTCGGCCGCTTCCGTTGGCCGCGCCCCGCTCGAAAAGCTTCGAAGTGGGCGTCCACGGCCCCTGTAGCCTCATCGCGCATCCTTCGGAGGCGGGCCGACCGCACGACTCGGGATGAAATACTGGCTCCGAGGAAGGGGCCTCCACCTCTGGGCGTCCGCGCCGCTTGAGGGCGTCCAGGGAGGGAGGGTGAGGGGGAGGAGGAGGAGGAGGAGGAGGAGGAGGAGGAGGATGAGGAGGAGGAGGAGGAAGAGGAGGAGGAGGAGGAGGAGGAGGAGGAGGAGGAGGAGGAGGAGGAGGAGGAGGAGGAGGAGGATGAGGAGGAGGAGGAGGCGTCGGAGGCCTTGGGTCGGAGGACCGCGCCGCCCCGCCGCTGCGTCGGCGCTGCGGCGCGATCTGGCGCCCCTGCTCCTCCGCCCTGCCGTCGCCGATGCCTCGCTGACGCATCGGCGGTGCGACGCGGTCCTCCGGCCCCACTTTTCGAGAGGCCCCCCGGAGGTCCGGCTTCGGCTCGGAGCGCCCCCCGAGCTGCGCATCCAGGTGCCCGAGGACGGGAAGCCCGGCGACCGGCTGCAGGTGATCCGGGCCGACCGCGTCAGGATCGCCGCGCGCGTGCCCGAGGGCACGAAGGCAGGGCCCGAATCGATCCGATCGATCCCGTTGCACACCGATGCCAGCTGGCCAGCTCCGATGCTTGCGTGTCGCTGTTGTCTGGCGCGGCCGATCGGAGTCGATTTCGACGCTGTGGCGATGCCGGCCGATCCGGCGCGCCGTCGCGTCCGATCCGACTTCCCCGTTCGATCAGGATCCTTCAACCGATCCCTATCCCCATCCCCATCCACATCTCGAGCCCCACCGTCTCACCACCTCAGTTGGGAATGTGCCCCTCGAAACCCGACGAGAGCAGCCTGCATCCCCTATCAGGGGGGCAAATCGGCCAATGGGGCCCAGCCCACGCTGGTGGGGATGGGGATCGGTGGAACGATGCTCATTCGGTGCTGACTGATTCCGTGAAGGGCGGGGACTTCTTCAAGGTGGCCGTCCCAGCGGTCGTGGTCGCGGTCCCCGAGGGAGCGAAGACCGGCGAGCTGGTGACTTTCCGCGTGCCCCCGCCGGAGGGCAAGGGCAAGGGCGAGTGGATGCAGGCGCGGTGCCCCAGCGAGCTCCTGTACGGCAGGTATTTTGCCGCCTGCATGCCGCTGACGGCTGGCAAGCAGCAGAGGTAGCGGGCCCGACGGGGCCCATGCTCGGCCCAGTCGAGCGGTCTGGCTCGCTGGCCGTTGGCCTGGTACTTCCTGGCGCCTCCGCGCCACCGCTCTGCCTCCCCCCCCTCTCTCAGGAGGGAGAGAAACATACAGACACAATCAATCCTCGATTCCCCAGGAAATATGGGACAAGATGGGAAGTGGGGGGGAAGACAGGAACCCAGAAAGTATGGGAAAATGTAGGGAATCTTTTTGTTTGTGTGTATTCATTTGTGTGTCCCGGGGCCCCTTCACTCTCGCCCCCCCCCCCCTCCCAATAGATTCCGGCCCCCTGCTTGAACTTGAGCACGGGGCCCCTTTTTTTGCACACGCGCTCCCTCGTGTGCGTCGGCACCTCTCCAAGCGAGGCGCCGAGTAGTTCGGAGGGCCGCGCCGCGGTCTCGACGAGTCGAGCACCCGGGGCACGGACCTGTGCGGCCCGAGCGCACCGCGCCGGCCGCTCGATGGGCGCCGCTCTGCGAGGTCCGGGGGCGCCGAGACGGGGTGGCGAGGCGGGTTTGGTGTGGCAGGTTTGAGTCGGGCCTGTCCCTCGACAGGGGGAACATTCAACAGCAGTCCCAAAATGGTCCGGGGACGATGCTTGCCTCTGTTTGAGTTTTTTTGAGTTTTTTTTTTTTTTTTTTTTTTTTTTTTTTTTTTCCGTCCAAATCCGCCTGCAGGGGGACATGCCCGACCTAAGTGTGGTAGGTTCCCGTCGTGTCGACGGGCGGCGGCCCCGCCGCCGGCGTCCAACGTTGGACGCCTCCGGCGACCCAGAGGCTCGGTCGGTGTGGAACGACCTGGCGTTGCGGAAACTGCCGATCGTTCAAGGCTCGTTCAAGGCTCAAGGAGGAGGAGGCTCCTCCTCCTCCTCCTCCTCCTCTCTCCTCCTCCTCCTCCTCCTCCTCCTCCTCCTCCTCCTCCTCCTCCTCCTCTCCTCCTCCTCCTCCTCCTCCTCCCCTCCTCCTCCCCCTCCTCCTCCTCCTCCTCCTGCTCTTCCTCCTCCTCCTCCTCCTCCTCCTCCTCCTCCTCCTCGTGCAAGCGGGGGTCAGCCAGGGCGCCAGATCCTGCAGGATCCTGCGAAGACCCCCCCTGGCTGATCCGGGTTAGGGAGCCGCTCGTGGCCGCGAGGCGGCCGCGCGTATTGGCTGACCCGGGTCTGCGAATACCTGCGGCAGTTTTTTTTTCATGCATTGCAGTTTTTGGTTTCCTGCTGACCCGGGTCTGGATTGACCCGGGTCAGAAGATCCCCGAAAGGGCGAGCGATGTGCCCGCGGTGTCAGGAAGCAACGCCGGAGTCGGCACGACACGAGCCTGCCGCAGCAACTCATGTGAGCCGTGCATGGCCTCAAAAATCCGTCTTCGGAGTGCATTGGCGCGCGCCGGCGCCGACTTAGCGTCGGTCAGCGCCGCTCAGCATCGACTCGCGTCGCTTAGCGTCGACTCGCCAGAGCCGACAGGATGCCACGGGAGGCTCCCATGAGTTGCCGCAGACAAGCGGGGCATCGGCCCATGGGCGGGATCGGCCACGCGCAGAGGGGTGGGGGGAGGGGGGGAGGGCTTCTTAGGAGCGACCCTGCTCCTTGGAAGGCGGGGGGGCCTTCTCTCTACAGATGTGAGGCCGGCGCCTTCTGAGAAGCAGCCTCCTCCTGAGAAGCCCTCCCCCCTCCCTCCCCCCCCTCGTGCGCGCCGCCAGAGGCGAGGCGAGCGCTCCCCGCCCGCTCGCCGCCGGTCGGGGCTCGGGGCGGGATGGCCCGGGGCGCGCACGGCTTCGCCCGCGGAGAGGCCCGAGGCCGCGGAGGGCCGCGCGGGCCTCCCGGAGCGGCGCGGGGCCCCCGGGCCGGGCGCGCGGAGCGCGCCCAGCGAGGCCGCGGCGGAGGGGTCCCGCGCCGACTGCAGGAAGGTCTGGGCGGCCCTGCGGCAGCCCGTGTGCCCGCACGCGCTCCGCTTCTGCGTGGTCCGCGCGCTGCAGCGAGGACCGCGTGGGCTTCGGGAGGGGTCTCTGGCCAGCCAGGGGGGGGGGCCTGGCACTGCTCGGCCGCCGCGCCGACCACCTCTCGAGCGAAGCTCCAGCAGCCCAGCGAGACCTGGACGGCAACCCCCCCAAAAAAGACTTGGGTTTCAGGGGGGGAGGGGCTCGGGCGCCTTCGCGCCGTTCCGCTCCTCGGATCTGGGCCGGGGAGCTCGCTCGTGGCCCGAGGCTCGCCGCGGCCAGGGGCAGCGCCCGCCTTCTCGCTCGGCCCTGCTCGGGGGCTCGAGCAGGGGATCGACCGCAGGATGGCTCTGCTCCACACCTGTCCCACGGGAATTTCGACTGCAGAATGGACCTGCAGAATGGACCTGCCCCACATTTGTCCCACGGGAAACTCAAGCTTGGGTTGAACCAGTTCTGTGGTCGATCCCCTACCCGAAGGGCAGCACGATGCCTGCATGCCGGCCTGCGGCTCCCTCCCTCGTCCAGCGCCCGCCCCCCCCCCCCTTCCGGCGCCCCGCCTCGAAGCCGGACGAGCGGGAGCGGCGCCCGCACGCCGGGGCGCACAAAGCCAGCGCCCTCGCTGCACATTTTTTCCCCTGGCGCCTGGACGCGGCAGCACACCTGGCGCGCCCGCAGGTTGGGGGCGTTCGAGAGTGGGGCGAGGACTGTGTGTGTGTGTGTGTCGACGCGCGGCCCGCTTAGCTTCGACTGGAAGAGGTGCGCTCTCGACCCGCGAATCAAAAATGTGTGTGTGTGTGTGTGTCGGCCCCAGCGCCGCCGCTGCTCCCTGGCGCCGGCCCCGCCGCGCTCCTGGGCTGCTCTGAGCAGGCCCGGCTCCTCTCGGCCCCCCCTCTCTGGCCGGTGCCTGGTCGTCCTCGCCCTCCCTCCTGCACGGTGGCCGGCTTCGCCTGACGTTGCCCCGTTTCGCTCTACTCGCCAGTGCAGTCCCTCTGTCCAGCCGCCGACGAAACAGTGTGGGTGTGTGGTGTAGTCAACCCCAGTCATCCATGCGGACCACCTATGGCTGGCCACGGCGCTGCTCGCTCTGAGCGGTGTGAGGGCTCGGCCGCTAGCCGCGCGCGCGCGCGTTTCCCTTCTCCTACTTTGGACGCCCCGTCGCTGCTCGCGGGGCCGCGACGCCAAGAAGTGTGTGATGGTTTGTGTGTGTGTGTGCGTGGGTATCATGGCCAGGACCATGAACTCTCTCAGATTTCACATGGCCCCTTCTTCTTCTTTTTCTTCTTCTTCTCAGGCGCCTCCCCCCTGTCCCTGCCCCCCCCCGCTTCGGCGCAGCCGAGCAGGGAACGACCTGGACACTTGCCGCGCCAGTGTTGCGCCCGAAAGAGAGCAAGGACGGCAGGAATACAAACTTTCGAAGGTTCGTACGGAGTTCTGGGGTCGGCGCTGGGCCTCCCCTTGGAGGCGCCTCTGGCGCCCTGGCGCGCCCCCCGCGCCAGGGAGGGGTCTTCAGCCACTGTTACGTCTTTTTCACTTGGTATCTGGGGCAACAACATAAGGGGGGACGCATCGACCCCCAATCGCTCATTGATTGCCGATGGGGGACCCAATAGCCCCACCCCGCCCAGGAGCGTGGGGATTCGCTATCGGTGGTCCATCATTGGTCCATCGGCGAGGTATCGACGATCCCAGGTCGAGGCATCCCCCCCTGTGCCAGCTCCCCCCTATCGTTGCCCTCATGGTGTTGTTCCGTTCCTCCCCAGCGAGCCCAGCTTACACTCTTCGGCGTCGACCGCGGGTGTATCGAGCCGGTCGCACGCAGGGGGCCTGTCGATCTGCGCCGCCCCCCCTGGCATACAGGCCAAGAAGGGGTGGCGCTGCAGGCTTGGGCGTACAAAGCGAACGCCTTTGCCACCTATTTTTACGTATCACTCAGGATGTAAGTGCCGATATTGGTGTCAAGATGGGGCAGGCATGAGAGAGAGATAGAGAGAGCGATTACGATATCTACTTTGTATACATACACATGTATGCATGTGTGCCTGTATGCATGTATGCATGTATGCATGCATGCATGCGTGTATGTATGTATGTATGTATGCATGCATGCATGTATGTATGTATGTATGTATGTATGTATGTATGTATGTATGTATGTATGTATGTGTGTATGAGTGTATGTGTGTATGTGTGTATGTGTGTCTGTATGTATGTATGTATGTATGTATGCATGCATGCATGCATGTATGTATGTATGTATGTATGTATGTATGTATGCATGTATGCATGTATGTATGTATGTATGCGTGTGTGTATGCATGTATGTATGTATGTATGTATGTATGTATGTATGTATGCATGCATGCATGCATGTATGCAGGTATGCATGTATGCATGTATGCATGTATGCATGTATGCATGTATGCATGTATGCATGTATGCATGTATGCATGTATGCATGTATGCATGTTTGCATGTATGCATGCATGCATGCATGCATGTATGTATGTATGTATGTATGTATGTATGTATGTATGTATGCATGCATGCATGTATGTATGTATGTATGTATGTATGTATGTATGTATGTATGTATGTATGTATGAGTGTATGTGTGTATGTGTGTATGTGTGTATGTGCATATGTGTATATGTATGTACGCACGTATGGTGTGGTATGGTATGGTATGGTATGGTATGGTATGGTATGGCACGGCACGGCACGGCACGGCACGGCACGGCACGGCACGGCACGGCACGGCACGGCACGGCATGTATGTATGTATGTATGTATGTATGTATGACTGTGTGTATGTATGCATGCATGCATGCATGCATGCATGCATGTATGTATGTATGTATGTATGTATGTATGTATGTATGTATGTATACACATATACGTATATATATACACATATACGGATCTGTGTGTCTATGTGTATACATACAGTTAGAGAGATAGCGAGAAGCACGATTCTTTTTGAGTCGCATGAAGGCAGCGGTGGCCTCAATCGGGGAACCTCCCCTTTGAAGCCGGTTGCCGTCCGCTT